CAGAGAGAGACAGAGACAGAGAGACAGAGAGAGACAGAGAGAACAGTAAAAAAATGTTCAGATACCAGCATGAGGAACATACTTTTTGCCTAGATGTTTTGCAACGTCTGATCGTTTGAATCTGTCTAGATGATACAAGCGTTTGGCCAGTCGTTTAGCGGCTTCCACGTTGCTGTTAGTACCATTACTGAGACTTTCTGTGGTCTCTTTTTCCAGAATTTCGGTGCTCCCCATTTCAGAATGAGCATCTGGTCGCGTTTTCACCTCAGCATGGCTATGGCTACCACTTGAAAAAAAAGAAAGAAAGAAAGCTTTTCTTATATAGCAAAAGAGAAGATAGGAATGGAATTATAACACTGTAAAACCAGCTATATAAAATTATTTTAAATAAAATAAATATTTCTATCTAAATATTTTGCAAAAACTTTGTCAGGCACTATATTTCTAAATGATAAAAATAATAGGCTAAGCCATTGGTTCTCAACCATCCTAATGCTGTGACCCTTTAATACAGTTCTTCATGTGGTGGTAACTCCCAACCATAAAATTATTTTCACTTCTACGTCATAGCTGTAATTTTGCTACTTTTGTGAATTCTAATATAAATATTTGTGTTTTTCAATGGTCTTAAGAGACCCCTGTGAAAGGGTCATATGACACCCCCAAAGACTCATCACCCACAGGCTGAAGAATCACTGCCTTAAGGCCTAAATAAATGGTTTTGATTTTAGGACTTTATTATTTTTAAGTGTTGAGAACTCCAATAAGTTTCTGTTTAATGTCAATTTTATCTATTGATATGTACCATATTGGTAAACAAACAAAATGTAAAGTACTTTATATGTTCAGAAACAATTAGTTAATACTTTTTGCTAAAAACCAGGTTCTCCAATAATATCAAATTAAGTGATTTACATTTTTTTTTACAGATAGCTGGCTAGCTTTTAGAGGACAACAGGACTCTCAGAACCACCTGTTGATTAAACCTCTTAATTTATTGTTTTGATTGAAGTACTTTGGAAAAGTCTGTCTTCACATAGATATTTAAGTACAAGACGTATATTTTCATATCCCTTTGAGATAATTGTAGATATGCTTTATATATAACATGAGAATAAGAAAATTTGTAACTTCTTGAATCAGTTGTAATATAAAACTTGTTCCAATATGCTTTTGTACTCCTATATGAAATTCAGTCTTTGTCTTTTCTCTCCTAACCTCTAACTGGGTCCTTTACCCATGTGTAATTTTCCACTGATGTTTTGTTCATTTATAAACATGACTCATCCCACAATGTAACAAAAATCCCTTTCACTAATGTCACCACCTTCCGCAGGAGTGTAGTTAAGTACCAGGAAACTGCTCAAATTCAGGGTAGAAATGCTTTTCTGAAATTGTTTCACTGTTTTCTTTAATATTTTATTTACTCATTTATTTTTGAGTCATAGTTTTATTATGTAGTCCTTGCTGGCCAGGAACATAATATATAGGCCAGAGTGGACTCAAATTCACAGAGATCCTCCCGTCTCTGTCTCCTGAGTTCTGTGGTTAAAGTAAAGGCATGTGCCACCACCGCTGGACCCAAAATGTTACTTTTTAATAAGAATTTTAATTTAACAGCTGTCTAGTCATTTAATTGTCTCCATTACAAAGCAACTCCTCCTCAGTACACTTAATCAACAGGGCCTGGAAGCTGCTCTAAGGGGACCAAAGAGCGGAGAGCAGGGGCACAGGCTATTATGTCAGATTTCCTTTACTCCCACCTATGTGAAAACTTGTTTCAGAGCAATGTCAACTTACATGTTCCCAGTGGAGACCACAGGGTAAGTTCAGAGTTCAAACTGGAGGATGACCAAACCCACAGTAATTATTTTCACCTTCAAGTCAAATTGCAAACCACTGTCAACAACAAACAATGAGCTAAAGAGAAATGGACCTACACAATCAAGGATGCATGGTAACCTTTCTTAAACAATAAGCCACCTTCAATTTCCAACAGAAAATACCTACCAATAGCAAATTGCTTACTTATGATGAGATCATCGTGAAAATGAATATAATACTTCAATCATTTCATTATGAACCTACTTAGAAAGCTAAAACCGCCAATCATTGTGTGAAACTTAGTATTTAACTATAGCATATCTGTTAAACTCACAGAAATTTCATATTAAGGAAAATTCATAGTTTTTACCATATCACTAGTAGAAATGTAAACTTGTCCAAGAATAATGTTGGCTACAATCAATTAAGTTACATTTACACATACAAACACAAACATATATACACATACATATATATGAATATGTACTCACACACACAAACACAAACACACACTTTCTTCCTGGAGTTGGTTCCCACAAGTTTTCTATGTAATAGTCTTTCTCTACATAATAGCTATAACACAGTAAAGACAAATGCCAAAAAGAATTTTCTTTACCAGCACACCACTAATTACTGTTAATTTCTCAGCATGCTTGTGGTTTTTTACTAATGACTTCATAAGATACTTCATGCAATGGAATCTAATAACTTAATATACTCAGACAGACTTTGTTCAAATGTAATTATAAATTTGAAAACAATCACTAATATCACTCCTGGTTATTTTTCTCACAGTCTTCTATTCTCTTGCCCAACCTAGCTGACCTCACTTTATCGTCTTTAAGTACCGCTTCTTTATGGAGAGAAAGATGTAATTGTAAGATCTATGGACAACAGACTTTTCTGGGTCTTCTTTTAATACAATAACTAAATAACTTTCAGTAAAAGGAGAAATGATGAACAAAGTAAGGATGAACTCCTTCTTTCCTAGATGTCTTCAATCTGTCCTTTTCCCACTTAAGCCAAACAGAAAATGTTCCTTTTAAATCAGAAATCATCACAATGTGATGACAACACAAACTCACCAGCAATAAAATATGCACATCGTAAGACCCATGACAACTGCTAAGGCATGCCTGAGCCATACTTCTTATAGAAGCTCCTTCTCCTTCCCTTCACTCTAACACAGTTCTGCTCAACTACCCAGCCTTCCAGGCATCTGACCCTCTGTGAGGTCATGTTACTATGACCTCACATTCTCAGCTCTGTTTACTTGTTGGGGTTTCTGTAATGCTTTTACAGCCCCCCAATAAGGCAGGAGCCAGAACACAGGGCCACTGTATGAAGAGAATAAAAAACAAAGCAGTGCTGGCTTGTTCATACTTGATAAAGCAGACTGGATGAGCCCTCGAGGGAGATAACACCCCATTCTTTCCCCTAAATACACAAAACAGTGTCCCTCTAGCCTGCTGAATATTAGATGTTTTTGTTGGTAAGATGTCTCCCTTTGTATACCTCAGCTTCATTCCCTGGTTGTCATTGCAATCTTATAAAAGTAAGATCTCTAGCAATTACTTCAGTGTCCCCTCCCCTGTATTCTAGGAAATGTTTAAAAGAAGCCTTTATTTCCTGCAGCCAAGTAACCACGGCAACTCTCAACAATACAGATCAGATCATGGAGTCTGATCACTATGCCTTCGAAGAACCTTTTCAACTTAACAGGTTGCTAGATTTCCCAAATAAAAGTAATAAAATGGCCAGGTGTCTAACTTTCAGGTGTGTACACAATAGTGCTCCGTACACATCTTTACCAAATACTGCAAAAACATGTTTATTACTTGTCCATCATCAGGAACTGATAAACATTTATTAAATCAGTGAGGACATGTGTATTAGAAGATGGCTAGCAGTAGCAAGTGATTAGCATATAGCATGAAAAATTGGGTCCTAGAGACCCATTATCCATGCCCAGCCCCTCCTCCAAGCCTTCCCATATATAAAATAGGTTCCCTTCTGCCTAGGTTTTCTAAGCCTCCTGAGTGAACAGCCTATACACAGCACTTAGCTGAGTGACAGGCACACTGAGTGCTGAACCAGTGCTAGACGATATCATGTGAATAGCATTACTAGAGGTGGGTGTTACTGTTGGAGGTGCAAGACAGCTCTAAGTGATTTGTTGTTCAGGTTTCTGTGAGGACTGTGTTCTGTGCTGTCTCTGCAAGCCTGAGAAACAAATGTCATAAACAACCATGGCCAACAGAATATCATTTTCTTTCTCAGAGGCAGCTTATGGTTCATGGTTTTGCATGTAATTAAAACTCATGTTGACTGACTTCCCTTCCTACCAAAAATACTACTTTTGAGTCTTGGTTTCAGGGATCTGTGTCTACCTATTCTATAAACCTGAAGATGTCAAAGGGGTCCTATTACAGCTGAAGTCATTGACAGTCACTGTTTGAGAGTTCTTCTGACTTGCCTTTTCTAGACAATGTAGCTAAGGTAATGCAACTGCCCCTCCTGCTGATGTCACTGTTTTAGTTAGTCACAATTAGGAAATTAATGAGGTGGATTGCTCTAGGTATTACATCCTTTTATTGAGTCATTTCAACTAGTCTTGTGATGTGACTACAAAGAGGAATTGACAGCAGTAACAAATGAAAAAGTCACAGGTTACAGAAGGCAGTGTTAGCAAAGAGGCATCTCTCAAGTAGTCAAGGGATGAAATGAAGCAAGCATGCTTCTTAGAAAGCTCTTACTTCTCCAGGGCTCTGTAGGATCAGAGAGTTTGCAGAGCTTGGCATGGGCTGTGGACATGAAGAGAGGGCAAGGGAAGAATGCACAAAGGGTTTTATGTGTGGTCACTAGAAGCCTATATGAAATGCAACATTTGCGTTTTACCAGAAATGAAAAGCATTCTAAGCAGGAAAAAAACAGCCAATTTAAAGCCTAGATTCTGGAGCATGTGTGAGAACAAACTAGGCCAGTGTAGCTCCATCAAGACGAATGATAGAGAAGGTTAAAACACCAGTAAGGCTTACAGAAGTAGTCTATAGATTCAAATTTTCTCACTGCACAAAACAACGTATAACTTTTTCATTATACTCTGGGCTCAAAAAAAAAACACTGTTTTTCAGAACAATAGTGTACTAATGTTATGTGGACTTAATTTATAGCTATTTGAAAAGTACATTTATGGTGAAATGTATTTATTACTAATTAATTGTATATACATGTTGACAACTATACAATGTCTCAAAACTGGGGTCAAAGAGAATAATGTAGACATTTTCTCAACATGGAGGTTTTATCACAGCAGCTGGAGAAAATACAGCTTCATAAAGTTATGCCACCAAAAGAAACATAGCACAATTTACTATGGAAGTCGGGAGCTGCATTTCTTGCTGTTCAATAGCACTAAGTAACTCAAGGATACTTGAGAGATGCTGGAGACCTCTTTGATGA